TCGATTCTTTAATTTTGGTGAATATTTTTGTCATTTTTGGTAGAAAGTGATATTTTCGACTTCTTGTTAAAAACTGCTTTGATACTATACATATGGTTCATTTTCTAATGATGTCTTCAGTTCTTTAATTGAAATGTGCATTGCTACTAGCGGAGCTATCTCAGCCGATAGGCTGCTTGTTTAATAATTATAATTTTGGTTTGCAATAAATTTACTTCGAGTTTTCATTTTTGGCAACATTTCTTTGAAATGTTCATTGAATGCTGTAGACCTTTATTTGTTTGTGATATTAAGATAATATTTTCTGCATAAAACAGAGAATTAACTTTATTATTATTTTGTTGAACATGATTGATTGCGTGGAATCATCTTTCAGTGAATTAGTTAGATCATTGACATAATTATTGAAGAACACGTGACTCATATCAAATTTTACACCTGTATGTAGTTTGCTCACTATTCGTATTATGTAGTCGTGATATTTTATTTATTCTATGTTTTTTTTTCGACTTTCAAAAATAAATGTAACTATCACACTGGGGATCTGTCAAATCTACTTCGTTAGATCTTCTTGTTTCAAATTCATACAAAGAGAGATAAGGCGGAGATGATGGGGTCTGGGTTTTGAAATACAATTCTTTGTCACAAAATAATGGCTCATCAATGGTGTTAACAAGTAGTGAATTCCCATGCCGAAAAAAATCTCTGTAAACGTTTAACACGCCAAGAAAAACAAAACAAAACAAAACAAAACAAAACAAAACAAAACAACCAGCAGTATTTTGATAACATCTTACGATTACGAATAGACTAGACACCGTCTATTATGAGACTAGTGAATCGGTGTGAAGAGCTGTGGATGAGTCTTGCGCACGGGTCAGTCTGCGCATGCGAGTTCCCATGGTAATGTTCTGAAGTCATGGAGACAACCAGTGATGTCATGGGATTGTTTTCCGTCTACGTATTACGTAGCAATTCACCAGGCCAGTCTTGAGTGCACTGGGAAGTCACTCTGAATGACTGGATTCCAGATTAAATTACAAATTAATTATAGCTATATACAACTTTAACGAACTTGACTTAATGTATGAATTCGCAAAATACATAGCTAAAGTGCCAACAAACTCATTGTATACTGTATTTTAAATTACCTACATCTTTAATTAGTAAAATTACAGATTAGCTAAAATAGTTTTACAGTATATTGCAATGGATTGATTTTGTGTTCACAGTAAAGAACGCTAGTAGTCGCACAACGTCTTCAATATGAAACATAGATAAATAGACAGCACGAGAAAACCGAATATATTGCTTGTTCACACGATATTCAAACACGCGCTGCGCCACGAACATTTGCTAAAAACAGGGTGAAAATATATATTATCACAATATTCTGTTTCAAAAATGTTGGGGAGTCGTCATCTGCGCATGCGCCATACTGTCATAGCGTATCATTTTTTTATAAACGCGCGTCTACCCATGAGCCTTCGCGTTTTTTAGCGTGCGTTGACAACCCGATACAAATCGTGGTCTTAAAGAAAGCAAATAACACCGAATAAACGGCAAGGTAAAGACTATGTCTAATTATAGTAAATACGTACTGCGTGCGTGACTCGAACCGGCGCTCGCGTACGGCACCTAATCGCCTAGCTTCACGCCACTACACGTCTTCCCCTCGGCCAAGAATGTTATGGCTAGAGTTTAAAACAAAAATTGCAAGCATTGTTTTACTTTGTTTGTTTTACAGATACAGTATTATCATATTTATCTATAAAGGTATCCCAATGTTACCTTTTTTTCTCACATATGATCTTATATATCAAATTCGCAAAATATATATGAAAGAATTCAAAGTTTTCACGGAACTGTATTAAGCAACCTCAAAACATCTGGGGTACATTTACATTGACTTGATAATTGCTCAGTATATATATGGCGTAAATGTTAGCAAAAAATATTGCACTGTGTGGCTTGTAGTCAAGTTCCGAAAACTAGTCTTCCAGATGACGCTTATATACACCCTTACCGCAACATTATTAGTATATAAAAAAAGAACATGCTTTGTCTAAAGACTTTTGAAAGCTGTTGGTAATATTAACAGCAAGATATAGTAAACGTAATTATTATAATGACTTGTTATTGCTCGTACAAATTACTCGATACACGTCGTTACATTGGGTAAAAGCGACAATGTAACAATTTACAACCCAGGTAAAAAATGACGGCGCTATTGCACAAATCATATTTGGTGAGATGTCAAACCCGGATCGTGTTTGAAATAATAATATTACGACACTCTCTATAACTAACTACTATAAGGAATATATTTTCGAAAATGTACGATATAGGAAAATATAAAAGTTAAAAAAGAAGAGAGAAGTTCCTGGAAATGTCGAGAATAACCTTAAAATGGTATTTTTATGCTCCAGCAGGGTTAGATGTGTTTGTACATGAGTTCTTCAACGTTTACTGAAGACAGGTGCGGGGCCCGGGACCGCGCTACATTTTCGCGGAGTAGTGCGCCCTCTGGTGTTTAAACACACACGATTTAAGATGGCTGCCTCCATGTGAACTTTGTGGAAACGTGCAAGTTTGATCATTTGACTGTTTCCGACTTTCCTGTGCACCTAGTCTTCTATTTATGAGGTCAACTAATCCCGTAAAGCAGGAACTTTATTCTCGACCTGTCACCGGCGATTGCAAAACGTTTACGAACTTGTAACACTTGTGTTTTGATTTATTCGTGGAATAATGGAGGCGCATATCTGCAGACTACATTCTCTTGTGAAGCTGCCCCGTACAGTAATAACTCAAATTCGTCATTATAAACCACGTAAAATAGAAGAAATCCGCACGAGAAAAATACGAAATCCGAGTGTATCCCAGATGAACGCCAGGTAAACAACTGATCATTTACCATTGCAGGGACTATTATATTCTATACGATGAGAATTGGTCTATTTTTACTGTGATGGAAAGACTTTCTATTAAATGTACTCTCACTTCTAATCCCAACTTTAAATCGACCCCCTACCCTCTATTGTCTCCTCAAATTTATAGTATATGCCCATCTTGAGGACTAAGTATCGTTATCTAGAGGGGCATATACATGTACAACTGAATTGGGGGGGGGGGGAGGGTACATTAGAAAGTCTTTCCGTTATGTGATATTTATTTCTCTTTATTTTAATATCTGTAAATTAAGTAAATTCTCCCCTCTCCCTTTTGAATCGTTCGCCCATAAACTAAATATAAATTAAAATTATTTAGTGAATATTTTGGGTTACATTTTATTTTATAATATCACCATTTACTATTTATTTTAAATGCTCTTTTGTGGAAGTGAGTTGACTCGTTGCCTCAGAAACCCAGTGAAATGTTAGCTTATATGTATAAAAGTTACACGACCACTGCTGTATTGCGAATAGATGTTAATAGTACAAAGAATTGGTGATTTGATTTAATTTTTGATGACAAAACTCACTGAAACTGTAAACTGAATTTGTATTTTTTGAAATTAAAGCAGTTTAAAGTATACCGGTACATGTACCCGGTACAGCATGTTTAAAATATATTGTTTTCATAAAATAGCACAATGACTATGCTATTCCATGAAGGGAGCCACGACGCCTCTCATGTGGCTACTTAAGCCTCGTAACCTTATTTTCTTTTGTTTCAATCTAGTTAATCCCGATGAGGACATTGTCTAGCTCATCTTTGATGTTGATGATAGTTTGCCATTGTTCACGCAAGTAACTAGTTAGTGGAATATGATATAACCTCGCCGATTTTTAACGTGATAAATATATGCGCATTATGAAACTACGGTCATCATACATGCGCATCGGGTTGTTTAGTTGTGAAAGGTCAAAATACGCATTTCACAACCGGAAATTCAACAGATGAACGTTTGATTTCACAGATTTCACATGTTTGCATTATTAGCAATTGTAACAAAATTTTGAGCGTCTACAACAAAAATTCCTGAGAATATTATCGCAGAGAAAGTGTCTAGGCATGCCCTTCTTTCGATACTATCTATTCTGGTGCCTGGTGGTCGAAAACTTCAAATAGTTTTGGGCGTCAAACTGATGATGGTACCACTGAATAATGCAATCATAATGGTCACAGGCAATCATTGATTACGTCTCATCACCGTTCAGTGTTCTCCACAAGGGGTTTTAGGCGGGTGGCCCGCCCACCAAGTTTTACGGCCGCCTAGGAACTCTCAACACCCGCCCACCAACGTAGATCCAGCTGAAATTATTTGTAAAAAGCTTGCATTGTTCTTCCCAAGCCTAAACAAAAGAGTAGTTGCCCAACCCTTTATTTTGCTATTGTTTCAAAAGTCCAGACATAAACAATGACCACTGGAAGTCTGCAAGCAGTAATCAAGTGTATTCATGGCAATGTGTCAATCGCCTGAATTCATTGTCAGAGGACCGAAACAGGAAAACAAAGTCAGTGGAAAACAAAGGATTTTTTTCGTTAGCGTGCCACAAATAAAAATGTTATGGGTTTTGCTTTGACAAATCGTCCGTTTTGGCTTCGGGGACAAATCACCTCGTATATTTTCTACATTATAACTCAATTATGTTTTGTACTTGCTGTTGAACAAGAACAATTTGCGAACGTATAAATCATCGATTTCAAACTTTCTGCATTTCGTAAATATTGATAGTGACCAATCAGTTTGTATTTCAAAAAATTTGTAACATGTTTCAATTAAATTAAAAAGAAAATAGTAAATAACTTAGTGACATAAATGCTAGAATGTTGTATGTAAATGACATGCAAATTAATATGCAAATTTATGCTAATTAGGCCGCCCACCAGCTATTTTGGATTGTGGAAAACACTGCCGTTACAAATACAAAAAGATTCACGATAGTTCATCAGTTCTTCTTCAATCGATGGAAACAATAACAATGTCCAACTGGACATCATTTCCAATCTTGTGCATGCGCAGTTCGTCTGTTGCTACCGAACATGCTCCGAATATTACCGAATGCTCGAGATTAGCGTAACCCATTGTAAGAAACTGCCAAGAGCTAACAACAACCAATGTTTGTGAACAAACATTGACAATCGCTCATAGGGTAAAGCTAAAACAATAGCATCGTGGCTTCTTCCGTTAGTACTTTCCATGGCTATTCTAAGACTGATTGTTTTCATTACAGAATAATTGGTGTTGAGGAAAAACGTGAAAAAACCATATTAGATGAACCACCTTTACACCCAAAAAATGCTCCATTGGAAGAGAGACCAAACTATAATGAAGAGCCGTGTTATACATATCACAGTAAAATAAGAGTTTTGGAAGGTGCTAAGCAAGCACTGTGGCTGACCAAGTCTAAGATGATGGCAGAGGAGGTGAGGCCATTTGAAGTATATTTTCTGTGTTCCTAAGACATACACCACTATATCATGTATTTCTTTGGGTTGTGCAAACTGCTATGGAACGCCGGTCAATGAGCCGCCTCTTCACACTAATGTTTATACACAGAACTTGAGATAATGTTTTTTACAGTTTAAGTTGCCTTTTAATCACATATTTTAGTGAAATATTGATGTCATACATAATTCTATCTGGAACAGCAGAAACTAAGTCATAATAATGATACTAAAATTTGTGTTTGAAGTTCAAAATTTCCCATGTAATTTCAGGTTTCAACTAACTTGATATAGAACATCTTTAAACGTAATGAGATCACGCGCAGAATGCCTTCAGGAGCAGGAACTAGCAGCGTAAACTGATTGCATATTTATGCAATTTTATGGCCAGTTTATTTCTATAATGTCTCTAAGTTTCCTTTATTTTTTATTTAGTAAAGAAATCACTGAAACGATTTATTATATCCGTAAAATATTCCCGGCACTCCTTGCGCGATATGCATCAGACCGGTGTTGAAAGAACGCCGACCTGCAGCATCAATGTTCTGAGACCCTATTACTTTTGTGTGACCACTTAATTAATTATACATGTACATTGTATAAACAAACAATTTTTTAGTTGAATCGATGGTGATGACAGTGTCAAGTTTTACTCTATTTATTTACATGTTGTCTTTTAGATGCCGGAAAGACTGCAACTGTTGGCTGACATTGTGGATATGCCAAATATGGAAGATGAAGTTTTGCGATCTGTTAAGAAGTGTCGCATATTTGATGATCCAAAATCATTTAAAATACATCCAGAAAGATTCAGGTACTAAGGGGTCTTTTTTATTCAAGTACTGTGGAATACTTTATTTTCGCTGGAATTAATTTTCGCTGAAAAGGCTATTTGGGCGTTTTGCTTGGAATTTATTTTCACTGATTTTTGATGAGATTAATGTGAAATATAGAAAAAAAAGTATATTCGCTGGATTTTATTTTCACGAAATCATCCCTTCAGCGAAAATAGCAAAAATAAATTCCAAGCGAAAATAAAGTATTCTACAGTAAGCTATAAAGTGGTCTTTAGTGTGTTATAAGATAAACTAAGGAGTCTTTTTAATATGAGATTTAGGTAACCTAGGGATATTCACCAATTATGGTACTGGTATTCCGGTGACCTAAGTGCTCTTTGAATTAACTTCATAGAACAATATACTTTTATAGTATGCTGTATAACTACATAGAAAATATAATACAATCAATGTCATTTGATTACTTGTTTTTGACATTGTTTGTGTATCTGGTGACATGTAATCTGTGCACTGTTTGATTTCAGTTTCACTCAGTTGATGGCTTTCCTACACCTGTGTACCAAGATAACGCCGCAATATCCCAAGTTACTACAACGGAGCATTGGGCAGGACTACCACCTAAGTGCACCGTTTCAACGAGGTATGATTTCTTCTTGATTGTACACCAAACATTGAATGCAGTGACATTACATATTTACCTGTATTTAAATTTGCTGTGAGCTTCTAGCTGATAAGCAATTTTCAAGACCCCTTAAGTTCATACATCCTGGTACTTTTGTTAGTATGGCAACATGAGAAACATGCATAATTTGGACATTTCAATGTGTTTTTATGTTCCTAACAGTATTATTTCACTCTAGTAGCTAAAACAAAGTCAAATCTTTGAAATTGTGATGAAATATCAATAAAATAAATTTATTTTTGATTTTCAAACCAATGGAAATACCTGGATGTGTGACCTTTGGAAGTTATGGAAGTGACCTACCGGTATTATACTTAATGAGCACCATAAGTTGTTGCTTACATTCATTCAAGTAACCTAAGTTTTTTACCCAAGCTGCTGTTATATTCAGATAACTTAAGGTGACCACTCAAGTTGCTGTTATATTAGGTAACCTAAAAAATCTTTTTTTCTACTCAGGTAAAGATCGTATCAAGATTAGAGGAAGATCAGGTTCAATTATCACATCCAAATATCCTCTGTTGCCATTAGCAACAGATGAAGAAATCCAAGATACAGCATCATTTGAGTTGGAGTCATTGCATCCCATAGCAGGCACGATAGATTTGTTACCTTCAAATCTTTACAAATGGGATAAAAATTCAACAGGTATGGCTGCGTTTATTATATCTAGATTATATTTTAGATACTACTTTAAAGCGAGAGGGTCGTCACCTGCGCACACACAGAAATTGAGTCCCATGCGACGATAACAACACACCCTAAAAACGCAAAGGATCATGGGTGGAATCTTGTTTGTAAACAATGTCAACTTCCCCGCTTTAAAATAAAAATAAAAAGATTATTATATTTAATGCTTTTTCAACAAGATCATCATTGTGATCTTATGTTTATAGTTTAAATTCAATCTTTTTATTTAAGACGACTGCTTTCTTGAATTCTTTTTGGTTTTAATGACTGATTTTGTTCAAACTTCATTAATTGGTGTTATGATGTTCATTTGTATGTTATTTTCCCTGCAATCAATGGTTATTAGAAAGTGTCCATTACCATTCCTTTGATAAACCTGCGTACTGTCATTTTTAGCTTTTTTTGACTGTCAACAATATGTTAATGCCTTAATGTTGTCTGCTGTATCTCCGCCCGTCTGTGAAGGAAATTTGTGAATGCAATATCTCAAGATAAAACTGAGCAGTCAAACATGAGACAATGACCTGTAAAACTATGTAACAATTTGCATATGAATAAAATGTACATTTTATTGATAATAACAAAACTATTGCTTAGATTCACACAAAACTTGAATCATATACTATGGATCAATTGAAATAGAAAGAAATGGAAATCAAACTGGATATTTTCTCCTTCACAACAACATCAAAATCCATACATCACTTATTAGCTTAATACTGACATTGTTATATTCGCTACATATTGTTATATTGTATGCACATTATTGGTACTTTTCTAGAATTTCTCATGTTTCATTAGGCTCTTCGTAATAGACATTTGAAGGTCACACGTCTTGGCACTTTCTGACCTTTGGAGGTCACACATCCTGGCACTTTCTGACCCCTGAAGGTCACACATTCTGGCTTTTTCTGACCCTCTGAAGGTCACACATCCTGGCACTTTTAGGGATGTTGTCCGAAAGCAGCAATAAATTCCAATATTATATGTCTGTTTTTGATGCTTGCCTGCATTTGTTTTTCAATATTTTCAAGAAAATTCATACTTATATTGTATTTGCACCCCCTCAAAGTACCAGGATTTGTGACCCTTTTGGGGTCATGCATAAGGCAATAGATTTTTATCAGGGTGTGATAGCTGTTCATCATTTTTTTCAGGTTTTTTCGATGGTTATCCTTATCCACATGCCAATTTATTATTGGTATTGAATAAAAACAGTTGGATGCCACAGCATTTAGACGCTCAACTGATCTTCTATGCTTTCGCTAACTGTCTTGTCAGAGCTAACAAACAGTATGGAGTCCATGTAAGTCTAATCTCATGTCAATTAAATCTAGAGGGTAATATGGCATTGTAATGACATAGTGGAGGGCAATTTGACAGTGCAGTAACATGGAGGGCATTATGACAGTGTAATGACATGATGGAGGGCAATATGGCAGTAATTACATGGAAGGCAATAGAACAGTGAAATGACAAGGTGGAGGGCAACATGGCAGTTTAATGACATGGTGAAGGGCAATATGACAGTGTAGTAACACGGAGAGCAATATGGCAGTGTAATGACATGATTGAGGGCAATATGGCAGTATAATGACATGGTGAGTGGCAATATGGCTGTGAAATGACATGATGAAGGGCAATATGGCAACATTTTAGAGGGCAAAATGGCAGTGTGATGACATAGTGGAGGGCAATATGGCAGTTAAATGACATGGTGGAGGGCAATATTACAGCGTAATAAAATGGAGGGCAATATGAAAGTGTAATGACATGAAGGGCAAGTGTGATGAAGTAGTACAGTAATTCTGTTTGTCAACAAGTTCGCCATCATTTTATTTGATGTGATTTTTTTAACATGCCTCAACTATTTCTAATGACACTGCTTTCCCAAATATGATTATTCTTTAGAGCGAAGTTGAAAAGTTGGACAGTCCTTTTGTGACCCATGCTATCGGTACTAATGGTAGAAGGTGGTCATTTGTGAGTTTTCAACTGAATACAACAAGTCTATCTTCCAACGATGGAATCAAGAACATGGTGTGGTTGGACAGTAATTGTTTTCTCTACCAAACAATCACAAAAAAAACTCTAGAAGTCGATACACTGGATGTGAATGTTTTCAGAAAACTTCTTGCATGTTATGTTGACGGAGCTGTCTGAATCTAGTTCTTGTCAGTTTAGTTGTGGCGTGAAAATAACAAGAATCTTGTAAATATGTTCCCACGCTCCTTGTTTTTGGGGAGCATCTGCTAGTGTTCCCAAGAAGTAAATTTGGTGACATGAAATATTTTGATTTCTGCTTAAAACCAACTCAGATTATGTGTATTTGAATAGAAAATGCATGAAATTATCTGAGCTGTTAAATGTTTTGAGAAACTTGTGTCGGCAAAATAGGATTTAACAAAACACAGTCCGTGAGATTTTGTAATCATTTTATCAACAATAAACGTGAGCTGGACAAACTAAATTAAATGAATTGTCAGGTTGGTTGTGAGAATCTGCAAGAATAGAGAGCAATTTATTAAGATTTGTTAGTTGCTGATACCTTGAAATTACAACATTACAACAGCACCCTCTATGGTGAAATGTGATTTTTTAAAATTTTTTAATTCATAATTTAAATTAAAATGTGTATTTTCACGAGATTGCGAGCTCTTTAAGTTAAATTAGGATTATATTAATTCATGCATTGATGTTGCATATAGCTATTACAATGCTTTTTTACGGAATTGAGGTACATAATACAGATGGCAACGACTGGGAGCATGACATGAGTTCTTTAATTATTTCCCATGATGCTTAGAGAGAGAGGTCACGGGGTATAAACATTGAGTACAGGAAGCAGCACTGATACAAGTACTATACACAACAAGCTCTATTTCTCCTAGGTTCAATTACATGATACCACAAGAGCATTATTCAACAAGGCCCACTTTTGAGGGCGATAAAACAAAAAGTGGATTAAGAGTTTTCATTTGTTCTGGCAGCTGCAAAAACCCAGAAAACTACTTACCGCTTACCATTGACCTCCACTTGATAAGCAGAGCAGAGCATTCCATTCTGTAAACAGGTGGTGAAAGTTATTAGCAAGGAGAACAGAACCTTATACAGAAGGGGTAGATGCAACGGTTTTTATAACATTTTTCATACTCCCTGTAATCAATAGTTCACTAAATCCAGCCTTGCTCAAACTTACTAATGTAAAAAATACTCTGGACTTGCCTTCTCACTGAATCATCGCTACTGCTTGCTGAGTGAAGACCACTGACAGAACTACCCAACAACTGAGGTGAAAATGTTACCAATGCGAATATAACAGTAAAAACATTATTTGATTAATCATAGGATTATTCATAGGCGATAAACTGGTCGCAAATTATGTGCATAAACAGTGCTCCAGTATGCAAATAAATATTGGGACATATGCACAGCCTGAAATGAATACATGAAACACAAAATCAGATTTATTACACTTGTGTCATGCTAATGTTTCTCTCCAAAAGGATGGAGACTGTTGCGCAGATCAACAAGTACAAACTGAGACATTACCAAGCTTTAATTAGGTATTTTTTAGTCGAAGGAGTCACCGGCAGTAATTAGTGCAATTCAAACCTCATACTTGTGATTCCATTAGAAGAGCGCATTGAATTGTGGGTAAACAACACAAATGTCTTACATGCACAGCATGACGACCACCACCTTTTAAAAAGCCACTGGCCCAGAGTAATATGTATACCTTCCTTTTTTTGTTGATTCATTTGGTGCGCGTCCTCAGTGATAACATATTTCAAACATAATACTCGCTCCTTGCAATGCATTCAACACAAATTTGGATGTCACTTTGACAGTTACTTAACTTACAAATGATTACTAGGATACATGAATATGAATCAAAACTGTTAATTGCTTGAGGAAAAACATTCTATATTCTTACACATTATGTAGGCTATGGCATCCCAGGCGATCAAATGCTTTGTGGTTTATTTGTTTCTACATTTTTCAGCTTCAGTTTCACCTGGTTTTGCATACCTACGAGCAACAACTGCAACAGCCTTCTTGTGTCTCTCCGATAATATATAACCAGACACTAGTGTCCTTTTCAAATTCATACAACCAGTAACCAAAGTGCCGGTTTCATACTCTGTATACTTATTGGGAGAAGTTACATATTTGTTTGTTGACAGCCAGGGGGCCGTACACACTTAGACAAAACATTTTTGAAATAAGAGCATCAGGGGTCGTGAATTACCCACAGAAAATCTTTCTTCCACGATTCTTGAAACTTCCATTCATGTTTCTCAGCATCATACACTTTGTTTTTTTCTGTAGACAGCTTGATATTTAAATATGGCAACAAGTTTGCAATCGACTAATACCCCTACCATTTTTAGTGACGTTGTGCTACACAAGATCACGAACCCTTAAATCAATGCAGCAGATGGAATAGCGCCACCAATTTTGCAATTCGCAACCCCCCCCCCCCCCCAGCTGATTTTAACAATAGACACTTCTGAATTTTAAGCATTGTAATTTTCTTTTAAACGCCAGAATGATGAATTCTGTCCTTTTTAACACTTGTGTGAAAGTCGTGTCAGGACAGTAATCATAACATTTTTAAAATAGCAAGACACTCTGACCAGCTTTTTAATAAAGTTACTGACTGACCTGGCACAAAAATAGCTGGCCTCTGATCCCTGGGGTGGTGCGAGTTTTGCACACTGTGGTGTCGACTGCAGCTCTGAGACACCACACAATACATTTCCAGTGATTATACATGCACGCATGTATCAGATGGTACCATCTGGTTGGTTACATAGGCCTTACGTAGCATTGCTCATGCTAGACAATGTGTACATGGATAAGAGAACTTAAAACCACTGATCCATATGACCTAAACATTAAAGAAAATGTGAGATGAAGTATGCCCTCTTCTCTTTACTTCACTTCTCTTGTTTTTTATTGCATAAACAAAAGTAGCCATCTCTTCTTTTTTGAGTTGAGAACTTCCATCCATCAGCTGCCTCCTGCCATTATTTTTATTCCTGATAAAGGATAGGCTTTGCCATCTGAAATGTTGTGCTGTTTTTTAATAGTAATTTTTAGCTTGTATTTTTATCAGCTATGGCTACTATTGTCTTTTTAACCTGGTTTCCAGTGTTTGTCTTGTTTTTATGATAAATGAGTTTTGAGGGATACATTTTGACAAAACCTCACTGAACCAACCATCGTCTAAGGGTTATTTTTGGTATGCCACAGGGTAGCTGGGGTGTGGTTTAACTTAACCTCTTTTCTGGTGTTGCCCTCAGCGATTCATGGCCAAAAAACCCTCAGTGTTATCAGTTATCCATCATTGAACAGATTTCACAGCTAACCATTAGTGATCAGGTCAGGTATCTGGGTGGGGGGTGGTGGAGTTACTAATTCAAGATAAAACTCTGACAAATACAGGTGAATTTCATACCACACACGCATTAAAAGACAAATGAAAATAACACCATTTGTGATTGATACATAGTTACAATTATTTAATGCACTTATGTACTTCCTTAGAACATAAAACTGACAGAAAAAAAATATTTGTCTACGACGAATCCATGTAAAAGTAAGGACTACCACGAAGAAGTAAATACTCCTAAGTTTTTGCAAGTTTATGGCCGACAGACAGCCACCTATTTCTGTCAACTGCTTCCCTGGGAAGTTTCTTACTGTACATACAGTCAATTAAAAGAGTCATTATTAAAAACCCATGAATATTCTAAAAACATTAAACACTGAAATGTCATTGGTTACTTCTTTTCTCCAATTAAAAAATCAGTAATCAGTGTGTTGGTTTGGTAATTATTTACTCTGCATTTAAAATATTGGTTACGTTTGGCTTGGAGTTCAGTTAAGAGTGGCCCAGGGAAATGGCAACAGAATTTCTCCCCCCAAAAACAAATTAAAGAAAATAATTATTTAAAAAAAAAAAGTGGCATTTCATTCATATATTACAGACTATATTCCCTGAACCACACTCTGAGATTACCAAAATCTATCACGAAAAATGTACAACTATTACATCTACCCCCTTCCGATTTATACCTGCCCACCCCCATCTTAAAGTATTTTGATCAAGATCATGAAAACATGGTTGATTCCATTGTTGGAAAAAGAGGTGCGGAGGCTCAGTAATAGCTGCAATGAGTTTTTCAAAATCTGAAAGGTTGCATGCAGCCTTATTGTCAATAATGGGCTGTGGATTTCTTTTTTGGTCTTGAAAACGAAAACACTATTCTAACATTTACAGGGAATTTAATATTTTTGATGAATTCTCATTTTTCTTCAGAAATATTTTCAATAATATATCACAGGAAAATATTGCTACATCTTGCTAGAATGTTTTATATTACAATTTCTGAACAATAAAATAACCCGGAAGAAGTCCACAGTCCGTCCACAACACAAAAATAATATCCTGATAAACAATTCCTGTCGTAAAGGCAGTCAAAAATAAAATACAATGTTACTCAAAAATACAGAACCCATACGTTTTTTATGGTCATGGTATTTTCTTTTTAAAAAAAAAAAATGCGTTAACAGTGTGAAATCAGACAGAAGTAGCAGGAGCAACATGTACAAAACTCAAAATGCATGGCAAGGGTGGAAATGGAAAGGGGAGTAAAGAATAGGCAGACAAACAGATTAAGGGAGTAAAGAAACAGGAAACAATCAGACATTTATATTACATCACAGATTGTTACTATTTATCCCCTGAAAACACGAGCACAAGTTCAGTCATGAGCACAGGAAACGAGAGTCTTCGTATATCTACAAAGGGGAGGCGACTCTTGCGTCCGTAGAACACGCGGTATATCATTCGCACATATTACTCAGTTCATGTGCGCAACATCATCGTTTTTAGTTTTTTATACAATAATCCCTGCCATGGCAACAACAACAACAATGTTAAGTCAATTTCTTTGATTCAGTTTTCACGTTAATTAAGATTCTGATGGGGCAGCGGTGGCACCCGCTGACGAAACATCTCCTCCCGAAGAAGCATTCGGTACATCACTGGTGCTACCTGCGGGCATCGATCCCTGTACATGATGTTGACCATGTGCTGGTATAAGAATAGCGTTTAACGACGGTTGAATTTGTAACTCTGAAAAGCAAACACAGGATGAAGATGTGTTAAAACGATTTACTGTGTCCGACTTTAATTTTAGCAGGGTTCTATTCTCCCATTAAATGCACTAAAATTAATGCCCAGAAAATGTCAACATTACTAGTAAACTATTTATCTTGTTTGTTATTATTAATATATGCCATGATTTTTTTTTTATTATAATTTGTTGCAACATTTGCAGGCACTGAAGTCACTGCCTTTCGTGCAAACGGCAAGTGCACACCAGTGTCCCAAACGACTTGATTTGTTTACCGAAAGGTGTTTCCAGTAATTAACCTTTGTTTTTTTCAACGTAATTTACTTTTCAACCAAGTTTTGTGAGTGTCATTTGAACAACATTCAGGTCAATAGCAGCGTCTTTGATTATATTATACCCTGAAAGGGGTGTCATTTTATATAATTCAGAAAGTCAAAAACAAATTATTTTGAACATAAAACAGCATGTAAACCGCTGTACAATGTCAGACTAGCAATGGTGTTCTACATCCAATTGTGGATAGGTAAATTGAGGAACCCAGAAGTTGTCTAAGTGTAGGGTAACAATTTGAAAATCAACACGAAGCAAATACGCTGAACGAAACTGATGCAAAAGTGGTGAATTGCTTGTAACTGTACAAGGTTATGGGGTGAACAGTTTTGACCCTGAAAACAACAACCTGACTTGTAATATTTGAGCAACTACTCACCATGTTGTGTGAAATTGAACAGCGGCGGTAACTCTCGACCACTTGGTAATCTTGTATTAGGATCTCGGAGTTCATCAAAAAATGCATGTGCGCAAGCCTCCATGGGTGAAATCCTGGCAGACGGTGTGTACTCCAGCAGTCTACCACAAAGTGCAATTGCTTCTGGTGGTGTGCGTGGACGAAAAACCTAAAAACAAAAGCAGATATCAAACAACAATGCCGTTGGGTGTTGCATGATCATCAGATCTATAATAATGGGCTCGAAAGTTAGTTAAAAACTGGTATTGTGCATTAATTATACACTGGGTTTTAAGTTCCCTATTTCATGAATTTAAAACCCAGTGTATATGTTCAAAATATTAAAATAGTGAAGTTAAATGCCAGTGAAAATAAATGTTTTTTACAGTAGCATAAAAGCTGGTTCTATCCTGTGCAGCCCCTTATTATCCAGGCTACGCTCTGCACCATTCTCTACAGAACAGACGTGATCTCATGACGTGATTAGCGCCCTCTACATGAGACGCATTAAAACTCTGCCACCTCTTACAACACCTGACGCATTACGTATGAAAATAAAATTAGTCAACCAATCACTGAGTGTTTTACCAAAACAGTATCAATTATTCTACACACATAGTTTGTAACACAGAATCTGATTTGTTAAGCCAATATTTCCATACGTAACAAGTCAGATGTAGTTGGAGGAGGCCCAGAGATAACCAGAATGATGTTCCTCTTACCACCACCACCATATTCTCCGTAAGGTGTGAAATATGTAATGAATCAGCTGGCTGAGCTTTCCATTCATGTGGCTTGGCAGCACAGCTGTATGGCAGACAGAGTGTGCAATCTAAATGTGACGGCAGTTAGACATGAACGTGGTGATAAAGTTAGTCATTTTATTTTTACAAACAAGAGCACAAGAACATCCATTTGGAGGCAAGACCACGAGATTTCAACTTCCTGGATAATTTTTGTTTGTTTTTGATACAAGTGGTTTTAACTTTAAGTACAGCAAGCGCAACAATTACCCGAGAGATCTACATTCCTGAAAATGTTCCGAATTGCAAAATAACCTAAGATATTAGGCAAGACTTTTATTATTCCTTGTTTCGTGAACCCGCCGAATGAATAGGAGCCGAAAATGAAATAAAAATAAAATTTTATTTCAGCGTAATTTCTCATGCCGACTGGTAAGTGCAAAAAATTGCTAAAAAAATATTATTTTTATCTTCATTTTTTTTTCCGCTCGCCGCATAACAAATCCAAGTAGCATTTTCGTCGGAGTATCATGATCAAAGTACTGAAGTCTCGCGCAGATAAAAAACAAGGTTATACATGGAATAAAATTTTATTTCATTTCTTCTCTTCGATCAGTGATCTCACTTACAATTTTCTGAGAATCACACAAATCAAATGGAAAAAAAGAACAAATTTTATTATTTTCCCACCCTCCTCAAAAAAATTGCCCTATAAAAACTCGAGAAACAAGAAATAAAAAAAGTCTAGCCTTATTAGCAAAATGTAGAAGCAAAGAAGCGAAAACACCAAAAATATGTGCATTTCATCTCATAAAGCGGCAATGTGTTGAAAGATAATATTTGATCATTCAAAGTATCCAGTGTCTAACACTTGATGTTTCTATCTAGAATTACAACTGTATATTGTATACTGTATACTGTCTCCGCACCAGATTACTTATCCAATTTATGATGGTCTTGTGCTCTTTATAAGCTCAACCAAGTACATACATATTTTCAAACCTTTGTTTTGCGTCTACACCTACGTAAGGGAATTGACAGAATACTCACACCTACCTTGGGCCAGGGATGAGGCTTAATTTGTGGAAATTTAAATTCTTGATAATTAGGATTCATTTCTCGTATTTGTTCCCGTGATGGCGTGCCCAGAACTTTGATTATTTCAACCAGTTGGTCTACCCCGCTGTCGCCAGGGAAAATTGGTTGACCTAGCAACAATTCCGCTAAAACGCATCCTGCCGACCAAACATCTGTGGAGAGAGAAAGGTGTACATTGTTGGAAACAAATGATTTAGAGAATTGGTAGTTGGCATGCATAATTTAAATGTGAAAGTTTAAATCAGATTTTAGGATATTGATATTTAACGATTTTTCCCCCCCCGTTTATTTCGGCTATCAAATAATGTTTTCAGCAGGGGGTGCATCAACTGTAATGAAGTAATGAAAATTTTCAATAGACCATTTTCCGTTCACTGCAAGAATCACGCGTTATGCGTGAAATCGAACGTAAAAACAGGACAAACAAAGGTCATAGCGTCGTAGTCGCGTCAAACATCGCGTGGGATTCGACAAACGCGAAAGTATTTCGGGGACATTTCCATGCTTAATAATGTGCTGTCCACATTTGATGATAGGCAATTTCGATTAAGTAAGGGTATTCGGAAGCGATATTCCTCTGTCGAAGATCGGCCGGTCAATGTAAGCTGCGAAATAAAGAAATTCGAGTTCAAAATCAAATCGCTCGATTTTTGCGACAGACGTTCGACGCGCGTCTTTCATGCATCTCGCGAGATCTCGCAATTGTTCGGAAAATCACCTATTGCAATCTTTGTATTTCATGAGCAGTGTATTATACAGCATATATTAATCATGACAATTATTTTTATGACATACCAATATTTGATGTGTAGTCAGTAGCACCAAATATGAGTTCAGGAGCACGGTAGTACCGTGAACAAATATAAGACACATTGGGTTCACCCCGTACTAACTGCTTCGCACTGAAATAGAAAACGATACGACACACTTGCGTGTTACTAAGTTGTGTTGTGGAATTGGATAATAAGTCATACTCTGAATAGACTTGTATGACTCGATTATCAATGCTTCCTTTCACCTCATTTCACCTCACATCATGAGGGATGATGGGCAATGGATCAGTGTAATCTACCAAGATAATCCAAAACCCTTGTGCAAATTTACATTAACGATCATCCTGTACAGCTGTCATTAAAGGGGAACCTTCCAAGCCCAGGGATTGCACCAAAGAATCATGGGATACTATTGCTTATGTTGTTTACAATGTTAATCTATCTTTTATTGTAATTTTAATCCAGAAAGTAAATTTGTTATGAGTTTAGGCTTAACTGGAAGTGCCCCTTTAAAGAGCGACTCCACAATACCAGAGATTACACTGGAAAAAACTTTCCTCTCCTTTTCTACACTAGAAGCTATAGCTTGTGAGCCACTCACAAAACAATGCTGATTTACAGCTTTGTGGCTAACATGAAAGTTGTCACCTTTGCACACCAAGTTCCTTTTTTAAGCAATCACATCACCACCTACAATCCCACAGCAGGTTCTTCTCAGCGAGTACATACGTAAGTGTGTCCTTTTTGGCAATTCAACATTATGCCATTCGTTTCATATCTATTGTCATATCTATCTATCCTCCAGTTGCCAAGTGGCACAAAGGGCCTAGCTGAATGTCTCCATTCTGTCCTATCAGTTGCTGTAACTCTGGCTGTGAAATGCTCCTACTTTTTAGAGCATAGAGTGTATATTTTCAGAGTTGAATTAAATTTGAGTCTTCAATTTCTGGTAGTTTATCAGGGTAGGCTGGGGGGCTACTGACATCTGGAACTGGCCATCTGATATTGTGTTTCTTGTACTGCAGCCGTTTTGAATTGACAGATTAATTGTGTAGCAATACTACCAGCATTCTAAATATCAAACAGTTAATTCCATGGTACAGTACATGGTAGAGCAATGTACCAACTACAAATTTCCAAGCTTGAACTTCACGGAGGCATCATAAAACATGACCTTAACTGCCCAATGAGTTTGCCTTGGTTTCCTTTGATATTTCCTACGTCATTCATATATACAAATTTTTTTAATAAATTTCTGCCTAGAAATAGCCCTGAGTATTCACGACAATATAAAAACTACCCAAATTCACATGTCAATACAAATTATTTAAATCATGGTCATTTGATGGTTGGTAAATAAACTCATTCATCGACATTATATGAGCATGATTCAACTAGTATTTGTAACAAGAGTACAGCTCAGCTGTTACCAACACACATTTCAATTAAAGAACTGAAGATATCGTTAGGAAATGAACAATATGTATAGTATCGAAGCAATCAGACTTGCTGTTTTCAACAAGAATTAAAAAATATCACTTTTTACCAAAAATGACAAAGATATTCATCAAAATTAGAGAATTAAAGATATCATCATGAAATGAACAAATCTGAGAGAGGTTACCCAAGGTACATTCTCACCAAGTATCGAAGCATTCAGGCTTGTACTTTTTAAAGAAGAAGTTGAAAAAGTAAAAAGTTGATGTCGACGAACAATCACTCATATGATAAGCTCCGCTCAACGAAGACGACAGCGAAGCTAAAAAAAAAAAGCGCTATTCTTACCTGCCAAAATCACAAAGCTTAAGTACCGCAGATTCCGGATCCAGTAAGAGGTTTTGAGGTTTGATATCTCGATGACATATACCTAATGCGTGGATATAAGCTAAACTTCGAAATAGTTGATACATGTATAACTAAGAAGAGAAAAGGAGAAAAGAAAAATAACATTCACATAAATCACAACAGGTATTTTACAAAAACGCAGCTACACTTGAGTCAAGATACAAGATAAACTGAAAGTAATGATACTGTGTTAACAGAAAATATTTACAAGCAGACTTAATCTAAGTTTTATGAACCAAAGTGATGTTTCAGTTGCACCCCATTTTTTCCGTGCAAACTAAGCTAAAAGAGCGCCCTCACAGGAAAGGAAGCATCAAACTTGGCAATCAGACTGCCATCAGATAATTTTTTTTTTTTTTTTTCTGCACAAATAAAAGAAGATACGACTCGAAAATTACATTGGATTGGTAGGAGAAAACAAATTATCTGACCCAATCATCACCTGTGCCTTGCAAAATTAAAGTTATGGTCATCGTGTAAAATAGTAAAACTGTATTTGCTCTATCAGTAGTGTATGCGCTTACATATTTACATTGGAATTTCTAAAGAACTTTAAAATAAGTCATATTTCAATCATTCAGTATGAATCAAATGCAATATTTAAGTTTATATTGTTAACCTGACAGGTGATTTCTACAATTATCTGTCCAAGTGGGAATCTGCTTGACAGGTGGATAAGCTTTAATTTCAACCATGCGATATATGAAATTAGCCTCACGAGCATATTTGACTTTACATACAGCATGTGTAAGCATCATCATCATGTATTCGCATTCATTATTCATCAAATTAAATTTAATAAACACATGTTTTCACCATGCTGAATTTCTCAGATAAAAACCAGAACTGCAGGGAAATCTGAGAAGACGCTGATTACTTCTTCACTATTATCTGTAAAATGTGCGTAAAACTCACCTTGACATATAGTATTGGTATAGTCTGTTTATTTTTGCTATAATGCCGCGCTACTCGATACACAGTCTCTGGAACATAATCCAAAACTAAATTCAAATATACTTCATCTTTCTGCAAAAAAAAAATAGTAAAGAATTGTTGATAAAAATGAAGCGAACAAAGAACGAACAGCTGGGGTACAATATGGTATTAAAGATAAAAGCAAAAACAATTACAAGTATTGTCACCAAGGACACATCATATTAAACTCTGACCATGACCAAAATATTCATTTCTGTAAACCTTGACCATTTATTATTCAATACACTGAGCGATTTTTTTTCTAACGACATCAATAACATACGGGGAAAACTCCCAGAATGCAATTTTTTGTTTACAGAATATGTCAATTTAATGGGAGAGGGCGAGTCGTGGGATTGGGGGATACAGTCTGTGAGACAAGATTAATTTCAATAGAAACTGATTTTAGTTTTTTAACCATACATGCCGTGAAACAGCAGCCAATTTCTGCAAATTGTGTATAAATTCAAGACAATTTTATTAAGTCCAATTTTCCTCCCAACAGAGACTTACCAAAATGTCAAAATTTTTCAAGGTCGGCTTTACTTTCACTATGAGGTTTATTTGTTTATTGTAAACATAAGCTGCATTGATCGCAGGATGACTATGTCACCCAGATATTTTTATTTTAATGTGAAGGACACATCAGCAACATACCTAATTATTCCAATTTACATTTCTATGAAATTCCTGTATCTGGCTGTGCTGGGCTTCCGCTAAGGGTTAAAATAGTTTCAGCCACAGTTGCTACTACAGAATTGTTTCACCTATGGTAGAGCAAAATCTGATAGTGGTGTCACTTTTTGTTTCGTTTGGTCATTTTGGGATAGGTGTCATAACAATAATAACAACCCTCTCTGTTTAACCCTTCTCTTGCCGATTTTACGCCAATTGAAAACATGTTTTTATAATTACTCAATCAGAAGTGCATCTCTGATAGAATCGTATGTAAACAATCAATTGAGTACTATTGTAAAATACTTTATTTTAACAGGAATTAATTTTCGCTGAACAGAATTTTTAGTACAGAATTTATTTTCACTGATTTTCGGTGAGATGAATGTAAAACATAGGACGCCAAAATATTTAAAAAAACTTTTTCGGATGGGCAAATTTACGGCAGAATCCGGTACATAGAATGATACAGTTGAGTGCAGAGACTAAAATCTACTCACCTTTTCACCGCTAGAATAGAAGAAAAATCGGAGTCTAACAATATTACAGTGATCCAATTTCCGCATTATCTGGAGTTCTCGATTCTAGTGAGGAATGAAAAGAAATATTACAAATCTAACAAAAACAAATCAGGGATTGTACAACAAAGAGGCATCAAGGGTTAACTGTCTTAAGTGCTTGAGTTTTCCTTGGTGCCTTTGTAAAAATACAGTAAATTAATTTATTTTCACTATTCTGATGTTTTGAGCAATTTCACTGGATTTAAAAACTCACAAACTTGGCAGGGAAACATGCAGTATTATAGTTATCCTACAAGTTCATGTTAATTTAATTTAGTGAATGCATTTGCAGTATTTTATATATTATGCCTACAGGCTAAATTTGTTCAAATTTTGTCTTGAACAGAGTGTTCTTCGAAAATCTTGCAAGTCCTGTAGCATTATGAATGGTACTTACAAAGCTCTAAATTCACTGAAATATCGTGAGTCAAATAAAAATTTTCACAATTTCCGTTTATCATATTCAGTATTAGCAAAATTGTGTGACATCAGAATACCAAGCTGACTCACATATCACAAGTTCTCAATACACAAATTACATATGAAATCTACCAAAAAAGTTGCACAGAATACACTATAAAATGGTATTACAATTCAGATTTGATAAATCTATGAGAGTAATACTGAGAAAGTTTGGAAAGTTAGTTACAAGCATGTTCCTTGATACAAAAAAAAATGCTATGTTTTGTCTGTGCTCTCTTCTATCACAGCAATTACGGTATCTACGTAAATAAACAGAAATTGTATCAAAATTTAGAGTTGAATGGAGTGGGGGGTTAATTTATTTAAATATATGGAGAAACTGTTATTTTCCCAATACAGTGAAACCTGCATGTTTATGACGATTAGCCCTATCCAGCCATGCCCTCCCCAGCATTGCCCAGCCCCACTCAACCCAACATTGCCCTGCCCAGTCTTGTCCAGCATTGCCCAGCCCTTCCCCACGCAACCCAACATTGCCCTGCCCAGTCTTGCCCAGCATTGCCCAGCCCTTCCCTACTCAACCCAACATTGCCCTGCCCAGTCTTGCCCAGCATTGCCCAGCCCTTCCCTACTCAACCCAACATAGCCCTGCCCAGTCTTGCCCAGCATTGCCCAGCCCTTCCCTACTCAACCCAACATAGCCCTGCCCTATGCAGCCCAGTCAGAGTTCTTCACATTAGTATACATCATTTTAACCATGGATATACCTCCGTCATCTATATAAGCACATGCACAAATACAGTACATGTCTTCACAGCAAACTACATTTTATGAGTAACCATCCTATCTACAAACTGGGCACTGAAAACAGAGAAGTTGTTGGTATTCCCATCATTATCGTGGAGCTACAACCTTTTCAAAACCATACCCAGTTAGAATCCAAAGAGAAAATGTTATACATTATAAATAAACTACTCAGAAAAGATGATCAGTTACAAGATGACGTGAATCAAGGAGAATTACTGAGCCGATACAATCTACATTGCGACTGAAACAAACTGAGATAGTTCTGTTTTACTGGGTAGTTGATTTATTCAGAATTGAAAAAACAAAGGCTATACCAACCATATTTAGTAATATCTGACTACGCGACACAACTAATAAATTGTGTTAGTGATTATATCGATTTAAATTCTCGTCGATATCACCTGGACAGTAACAGACCAATCAATGGCACTACAACTACTGTGGAGTACTGATACTATAGACACCCTAAAGGTACAAGCATGGACATCAATATTCCCACATCATAGTCAATAATACATTGGGTTTCATCTAAGGCCAATAATCAAAAAGGATTACTGATTTGTTGATGGCCCTGATAAATAACCACAGTGAAGACTGTGAATGAGAGGTCACCTTGGCAGCACCTTGATATAGGTATCAACAATTTTAGCTATTTTCGATGAAATAATTTTTCCTGAGTTTACATTTGTGCTTGTGTAATTTTGTTGCATGCATATGTGGAAGGAGCAATATCACTGAAATTCATAAATTAGATCGATAGGATGGAAATGAAAAGTGAAAAAAGAGTCATTTATAAGTACTTGTACAAGCGTAATAGGTAGGAATAAAAAATAAATAAATAAACTGTAACTGATGCCGAGCAACAAGACATTATTCAAACAGTTTGAGGTGAAACTGCTTATAAAACATTGACCTGTGTGGTTTAGCGGCACCAGCCTATCAGGTCAATAACATCAACTCTGACTGCAACAAGAATTCAACATAAAATACAGTGGAACAATTGGGACAATGAAGCAATATTTGCAACAGAGATATCAACCAGCAAGTTGCATAATTCTAAAAACGAAACAACCATCCCAAGCATAAAAAACAAACAAAAAAATATTTCTGTATGTGTAAGCCATATAATACCGGACACAAAACACTATAGACGATTCTATTATCAAATGTTGTTACATGACAACAGCTGCAATGGTATTATCATTTGCAATAATTCTTCTGAATTATTCCACTATTAGACTGCTATTAAATCTTACAGTCCCGAGACTGTAGAGGTATTACTATTACATCATCTTGTTTCCAAGACTAAGATTCAAAGTTGACGAACAAAATTGTTTACAATGAATAGCCATCTCACTAAAGATAGTGCCTGCTCCGAGATGCATCAAAGAATTGTTCATAATTCAAATTTAGAAATTTATATAAAAGTATTGTTCATAGTAATTTTTGTTTTCGTTGAAGAAATGGCACATCAACAGGTGACTTTATCTTATTTTAGATATGGATGCATTAAACATCACAACAAACAACATTTCTATCCTACACCAAAAAAGGAGAAAGCAAAAATACAACTGCATTTAAAAAATGCTGTCAGTAAGAGCACTATCCTTTTACCGATGCAACTTTACGGAAACCTTGGTTACAGTCTCAAGATGAAGTATGACGCAGAACCAGAAGAATTATATTCGTAAAGCAGTCACGATAATGATAATTGTCATATAATCTGCCCAGTCCTGAATATGAAAAGTACTTATAATAATGTCAGACAATGTGTATGATTGATAGATGTGTTGGCTAATGGATTATAATAAATAGATCACTTTTAGGTAATCTTGTCACAAGCGGACGAGACTAAAGAAAAGTCTAGAAACTAATTTTTTATGCAAAACAACTCCTCACACACAGTCTGTATCGAAATTATTGTTTGATCATCAATGAATAGAAATTAATGATATAATTTGGATAATTTATGCTGTTTGCTTGATAAGGCACATTTTGATTGGTTGACAAATCTGGTGAGAGCTCCCAGCATTCAAAGTTCTATACATAATCAAGTCAGAAGTTAGAAGGTCCGAGGAGATGAAAGAAAAAGATAAACGCAGCCTACACAACACACCACGCAATACAAGAAATGTTAGTTTACACAGGTCTATCTAAACATACACCAATAGCATTTCAGTAGGAAACAGGACAATTGGTTAATGTTTGGCGCAAGAACAGAAGAAACACTAGAATGGTAAATGATGCAAGCCCAATAGATAAACAGAAGTAGAAACATGCTATAAGTCACAAGCTAATTTGAAGAGATGAGATGAGACATAGATTGGTGGAAGGCATGATACATTCATGATACTGTAAAATACTTTATTTATGCTTGGAATTAATTTTCACTGAAGGAATGATTCCGTGAAAATAAAATCCAGCGAATATACCTTTTTTTCTATATTTCACATTCAACTAAATATAGTATTTTACAGTAATCTGGATTACCCTGAGAACAAGCAGATGGATTACAATGGTTTGGGGTCAAATGGTTCAAGGACATCATCTGAGGAGAACACAGTGATTAAAGAAACTGATATTCCAGAGAATCTCTGAACACAACAACAATCACTGTGTGGAGCCGTTAACTCAGATTTTCACTATACCATTATCATTTACACCAAAGCAATATTACTACCAAATTTTGCCTTACAAATTTGTACCCCTTCAACTCCAACGTTCAAGCCCTAAACCACCATGCTTAAAAAGCACGGGCAGAAGACTAGCTAGGAAATACTAAACCAACACTTACTTTAAATCGCTTATCTTGTAATACTTTCTTAATAGCAACTAATTCAGCAGTGTCGCATAATTTTGCCTGATAAACTACCCCAAATGAACCATTGCCGATAGCTTTAGTATCTGTATACGAGACTTCTTGTGGCCGATCAGGTCCAGCGCCAGGAGTTGCTACGACTGTCGTTACTTTGCTACCGTCTTTATCACCTGTCAACAAATCACAGCAAAAAATTATAAATTAATATTTCTCAAGTTGGCAATGGATCAGTAATAATTACAATATACCTATTTTGCATATCAATAACTCCTTGTTGCCCATTTCAGCTGACTCGAAGAGTCTAGCGGTTCAAGGTGAGCACTGTAGTAAGGAAAAAAGTAGTCATTGAGCCAAAATGGTCATACAACCATTTTGGTTAGTCAGCCATTTTTGTAAAAAATAAAAATAATCTGGATATAAAGGATTACTCCTCACGTGAGCACTGCGTTTATGCGTTGCAAAAGGGATGTAAACAACAGTCTAGCGAAACTGGTCAAAACTAAACACTGCGTAGAAGTGAAAGTCATTTACCTCTGATAAAAATATATGTGCAACATATTTAGTATTTCACACATGTGTTAAAGTCATCTATAGATGTAATAACACCGCTGTGTCTACTATCAAGGGATAAGTACACAGACACACTCATCAAATCAGTATGAACACAGAATTTCACCAGTTTCAGTACATTTAAAAAGACGTTCTGACCAAATTTAAAACAATGTCAGTTTTTGCATACTTTCATAATTACAGGTACCTGTCACCAGATTTCAATCAGGAAACAAGAGTCTGCTTTAACAATTGGCTTCTGTGGTGAAAATAATATTCCCATTTTGAAATTCTGCTTGCTGACAAGAACTGAAAATGTAATATCCATATTTGCACTAAATAGTAATGCCTCAAAGGGGTGATTCTGTCGTTAAAATAAGTAATTTTTGATTTACACAAAGATGTGCTTATATCAGAACAAATACAGTATTGTTAATGATAATTAAGGCTAATAGGATGCAAACTTAGAAAAAAAAATAGATTTAACTTAATAAGTATTTAGTATGATAATATTTTTTCATGATAAGGAATAAAAAAATTTACCCAGAATGCGATGAACATGACAATTTTGAATTTGGGATTGGATTCTCATTAGCTGGGTTTCCAATTTAGCAGGGGAATTAGCTGGTGTTATTAAAAGCTAATTCCACCACCGTTTATATTATAAGTGAGTAATGGCCAGATAATAGATTACCCCTCATTGGTTAGCCAACCATGACAGGGAACAATCCAGCCAATAGAAAACAACCTTGCATGGAGAGTTTACTTTAACACCACTTTGTCAAGCAAAACCAAAAAAGTCCCATCAATCCACACCAATAACAAGTAGCAAACAGTTCTGTGACACGCTTATTCGGACATTAACAATACTGAATTGTTTAATAGATTGACACAAGAGGCAAAGGATTGACACACAACAATGAATTCCACAAATTGAAAACACTCAACTCCTCTAAATATAACATGTACCAGTGCACTTAATGACCTTGCCAAGTCATAAATCCATTCCAATAAATTTTCAGAATCCAAAAGCATTATTTTTCACTGACAATTGAATTCACTATTATGATATTTTGAGCATATTCTACATGTTTTAAATTAAAAAAAAAAATCCAAGAAAACATTGAGTCCTATTGTATTTTTACATATTCACATGAATTTTTGAAGGTTTCACCAATTTGGTTTCATTAAGCAAAAATAGTGAATTTGAAGCCAAATGAGAAATTATAGCATTAGCAATATATTCCTGTAATGGCACATTATGCAGAATTATAAGAGGGACTCATCTACAATTTCTATATACACAACATGAAAAAACGCATGAAATATTAAAGCAGAGGATTTTTCACTGGGGGAGGGGAAGGTCGGGAGACTAATGTGAAATGTTGTCCTTGTAAACAGTCTCTTATTATGAAATCGTGCACATCTCTAATGAGAACAATTTTTACAGTGGTCCCCCATAGTATGGCATGGCATTACTAGGTCATACAATCCTTGTATAGTATCCTGTTAACTATCAGTCTTGGAACGTTCACACATGCCTTCATGTACCATCTTTACAAAAATGTAGAACTGTGACACTCAATGTCTGTAGTGCGTTCACAGGTGACAACTGGCACAGTTTTCATGCTTGCCGCAGGGCCAGTAAGTCAGTGTGAAGTTAATAACAAAATCAAAACGCTATTCAGTGCAGTCACAGTTCTCGCAAACACCTTGATGCAACTGCGCGAGAGAAAGATGGGAAGAGCGGGGCCTGATTACTGCACTGGTTGAACCAATATTATTCACATCACATAAGACAGTGCTGACTAAATTGTTCAACAGCAGCAAATTGGTTATCAAACTAACTAGTCTTGTACAATGCTCTGAGGTGTTTACAGCTGGTAAAGTCTAATGAAATCTCAGTCTAAAATACTGTTAACATACAATGTTATACATCTGTCATCGTAACGGCATGAGTTAAAGCATGCTGTAATTTTGTGATATTGCGCTGGGTATTTTCATCCTACCACATAAAGAAATGTGAATTCCAAATAGAACAATTATGTACATAAGCGTCCTCTAATAATAAAAACAAACATGGCTGCCCCCAGAGTTTGACCGGACCCCATATAAAGAAGCTAAATCTATTCTAAACTTTTTATATTTCGGCATTCCCATGACGTATCCTTGGGCGGAAAAGATGTATAATAATAAGGTTATTACGATGATACCTCAGAGTATGCACTCAGACAGTACATAGACGCATAAACTTCTGCTGCGCGTCTTCTACAGACTTTTTGGTATTGTCTTCTACAGACTTTTCGGTATCCTCCTAACAACCTCATATTATATGAATTCACTATTACTACTGTTCAGAGAGACATCAAAAAGGAAATATGCACGTCCTGCTATACATCAGCAGCTGGCACACTGAAGAAAACAGCAAACATTGACAAATTCAATGATATGTATTAGCATAAGGGTGTTAAATTTTTTCGAAATAAAATAAAAGAAATGCTGATTTGTTCAATTTTATTCATGGTGTTCCAACTCATGAATATTGAAACAAGTGTCAAATCGCTGTATTTTTACTTGTTTGACATAGCCTTGTAGGTTTTTTAATATAAGTAAATCAAACCACAGTGATATTGTTTTTTTGTTTTTTTTAAAACAGACAAACGGAAAAAAAGGCCACAATGTAAGAAGGGTAATAGTATCAATAAACATCAATGACCATTTTATCACAGCAATACATCATTTTCACTTCATGCATGTAATAGAATGTGCACCTCATTTAATAAAATATCCAAAGCAGTACAATTTAGCAGCATTTTACACAATCTAGTTTCAGTCTCATTTAAATGTTTATTTCACTGCCTTTATTTCTGTTGACATTACCAATGACGTAGAATGTGTCCTAAAGTGACCTTTCTCAATCAGCAGCCGCCATTGCCATGGCAACATGGTGACAAACTTGTGCTGTTTCTACTTATAGAATCTCGTAATCCACACAAAGATGTACCGACTGTGGCGGCTTATTTCCGTGACCTTGAGAGTTGGAGTAATGAGTCTCACTCAATAGCAGCCTGCAAAATCTAATTGCTTCACTTGGCTATGTCAATTGACATTACTGAATGTTCTTATGACTCATTGGTAAGTAATCAAGTCTGCATCAGTCATATTAATTATAGCCTGGAACAGTCTAATAAACAACACAGCAATAAATGAAGGATTTTTAACACAGAGGAAATAAAAAAAATTATTTCCCACATATTCATCAGAGAGGCCGTACTTATGACCTTAAACTAAAAAATTAAATAAAACTCTGAAACACACTTGAGACAAATCAGACTTCATTTTTTAAGAGAGTATAACTCTCCAACATCAATAACCAGACGAGCTAACTTAACTTCCCAATTCAATTGCGTTCAGGAGAGTCATTTTTAAGTGCCAGGACATGTTCAAATGGCAAGGCATAGAGAAAGATGTCACAATTCTATAGTGCGATCCTAGGAATTGAAAACCGACTCTTTGTAAGCTCAACTGTTATTAATTATTGAGACTGATTTTAAATCCTGGTTGATTTATGTATTCAAAGTCCTGTGAAGGATTGATAATGGACCCTAGCAATGGCTCTCAGTTCCTTTTAAGTCAAGCTGCTGTAAATATGTATGGAGATTTTGTCAACTAAAGGACAAAATACCCAAACAGGAAATGCACAACCAATATAAGATGAAAACTGGGTCACCTGACAAAAGGATTTGATAGACTAAACTGTCTAAGCATATAACAAATGTGTCTGACACCATGACACAAATATTACTACTAATATGAGCATGGTTCAGAGTGTACAGAGTACCCTTAAAAAATAAGTACGTCTCAAAAACAAGCTGACGCTTTGGTAACATCGAAGCCATAACATATTGAGAGCAATACAGCAAGTTAATAATAAACGGGGACATTACCATCAAGAGACTTCATGATCCAGTCCAGATGAGAGTTGAACTGCTTATGGAATCTGTAAGACACATACCAAGCACTGACTTGGCACAGAGTCAACAAGACCACTGTTTGTTTCATAAAGAGATGATAGGCATGTGGTGCCCATGTGGACAAGAGTACTTGACACAGTCTATTGTGCACTTCCCAGACTTGACCTTGTCTTTAGCACAGACATTTAAAACAGCATTGCATAAAGGGATGCCAGGGCAACTAATATGGGGACATTCAACATATAACATCTCAATCTGCATGTCAGGCAACTTAGCTGATAATCAATAGTGCATTTCCTATTTGTGTTTCTCAACACATGGGCAATCTATCATCACAAGTATCGCATAAAAACACTAGTATTTACAGTAGTCATCTACATCCAATTTGGGGCTAGGCATGACCTATGCTAAATTTGACCAGAATTCCAAGGGAGTGGTTTACATATACTAACAGTGAAACATCAAAGAAACAAAGCTCTATTGTTGGAGTCTATTATGCAATTACACATTTCTACATTCCCCAGACAACACGACACGCATGGCTATATTCAACTCAGAGGTGGACTTTCAAAAGTAAAGCCATACACTTTCTGGTGTTCATGATGTAATTCTATGAGTCACTGAGACCCCCCCCCCCCTCCTCCCCA